CCTTCTGGGAAGGGAGGGGTCAGCCAAAGTTGAATCCAGAAGAGGTGAAGATCAGCCCTGCCTTATCCATAGAACAGCAGAGTGATCCGAAAACATTGGTTAATAAGTATCAACAGGTTTTCTCAAGCAAACCTGGTGTAGCCAAGGAAGAGTTGCTTAGAATTGTTACTGGAAATGCACCCCTGCATGCTGTAACCCCATACAGAGAAACCCATGATAGTGTTCTCCCACATAGGGAAAACAATGTTGAGAATGTATCTGTGAGACAATATGTAGAGGTAGAGAAAGACATCCACTCTGAGGCTTTAAAAAGGGACACCTACAGAGATGGTCAGGGGAGGAGGGGAAACTGCCTGTCCTTTCCCCAAATGAGATGGTGAAGCCCCAAGCCAGAAAGAGAGCGAGCTTCACTATGATGCATCCAGATGATGACATCCCTGGGTCAACCGAGTGGCCAATGACTTACAGACGATGGAAAAGGTTACGGAGGAAGGAGCCTGTGGACGACAGAGAGACTCCTGAGTGCTAGCAGTCGTATATCCAGCTGAAAGAGGCAGTAACGTCCGGACCAGTCTTCATTACGCCTGGTTACCACTATGGGTCCACCTTCATTTCAAATGCTGTGAAATATGGACTTGGAGAGGTGAGGTGGTGCGCTGATGACTGCGAGAGTGAGCATGCTTTGGACATTGATAACCTGGACTTTGCAAAAGAGACTCAAATCTTGCCTCGAAAGCCAAACGACTGACAGAAGGAGACTGGACAGTTGTAATTGTCATTAAAATTTGCATCTCCATGGACATTAAAGTGCTTTAATATTGCAGGACTATGATTTTGAGGTTAAGGTTGTCAGAGGGACTATGAACTGTGTTGCTGATGCCTTATCCTGAAGACCCGACGACGACGGTTGAACTAATATGGACTCTTGTAATAACTTTTGAAAGTTATAAAATGTGTTGTTATTTCTATATGGTTTATGTATATATGTACGCAATTGCTTATTTGAATGTAAGTATATGTTAAATGATATAGTTGTGCATAAATGTGTTTAATATGTTGTGGTAAGTGGTAATGTGATATGCAATGTTTTGTTTTAGGTGCAGTTGTTTTGGGGTGAAAAGCACCTTAGCTTTCCCCCCACAAAACAACTTTTATAAGGGGGGAGGTAATGTTACGGTAGCGGTGACATCATCTGCCCGTCATTGCTGTAGCTGCGTGTCATCTGCCAATAGCGTGACGGGAGGTGGGACATAAGAGGGTGGAGCTAAGGTATTTAAGGGGGAGTGAATGAGGTGTGAGTCAGATAGGGTTTGAGATAGGGTTTGAGATAGAGACTTGTACATGTGTAGTACTGTGCTATATATTAGAGTGAAGGTCTGAGAGAGAGTGTGTGTGTGGGGTACTTTATTATTACTGATTGCCTTTTATTTTAATTATTATAGTGATTTACTATTCCTTTTGTTATTATCAATAAACATAAGTTTTTATTTTAAAAATCATACTTTTGTCTGAAGAGTTTTATGAGGGAATGGTTGGTGGCAGCATGAAATAAAGTGAGTGTGAGTGTGTCGTGGCACCTCCTTTGTGTCGTGTGAGGAGGCTGTCACAACGTCCATCGCAGATTACAAATCATGATGGAGATGTATAATCTCCAGGCTCAAAAGAAAGGTACCTCAAAATGCGAGATGCAGGGGAGTGGACAGGTATCTAGTTGTCTTCTGTGCTCCCAGAGGTATCTGGTGGGGCTACTGTGAGATACAGGAAACTGGAGTAGATAGGCACTTGGCCTGATCCAGCAGGGCTCTTCTTATGTTCTTATATGCTCTGTGAAGAATACATACTGGTGGAAGAACAATTAGTCAAAATACAGTGACATAGTAACAGTGAGAATATAGTTGGGGGGAAAGGAGGCAGAAATGTGAAGCAGCAAGAAAATAGTATAAAACAGGAATATCATGCTGACCAAGGAAAACAGAACCAGTCAAGAACTCCAGTATGCGGGTCTGCTTAAATATCTAATAACTATGATACTACTGCAGCGAGAGTTCAAAAATGTATTTTTAATTTCTACTTTCTACTATATTGAATCTGGTACAGAAGCCATTAAGGGGGATAGATAATGAGCACAATCTGAAAAGATGTATGGCGGTGCCTAACACTGTGACAGAATCTTTGAAGCAGGGCTGCAGTATAATGTAGCATAATGGGTAAAATGTTAAATGTGAGAGTGTGTAATCAGTCTAGAATGAGGATATCTTAAGAATTGCCTTATCTTGTACAAACCACTGACTTTGCTGAAGTTGTGATGAACACTTGTGTTCTAGGCTTTCAGTGGGAGATTTCTTAGAATAGTTTTTGATGGATACTTTCAGTCTTTCTTTTTAATCTTGATATTTCATCTGTTTTTTGCAGAGGTTCCTTTCTTCCTAACTTCCTTAATCCTGAGTAAGAAAATGATCTTCTGCTAGGAAAATCAAAAGCTTCACTTCATGTAGCTTTTTTTGACTATACAGTACAATGATTTTTATTCTGTGTGTTTTTGAGACACTTTCCTTAAGATCTTTAGACTGTAGAATATTCTAAGCCATTAGGAGAAATGTTTATAAAGAGAAAGCTTTGAGGTGGAAACATGGTGTAGATATTGTAAAGGTAATAGTAGTAGTTACATAACAGCTTTAGTTAGTTCATAAAGTACATACAAGAAACACAAGAACAGTATACATACTCTAGCCAACTTTAATAACCAGAACTGCTGAATATCTATAAGCTTTTCTGGGTAAATCATCATTGTCATTTTTCTCATTGTGCACAGGAATGCTTTCAGTTTATACTGCCAGCCCTACCTCATGCCATTGACCTTTTGCGGGATGCCATTGTAAAAGTAAAAGAGGTACATGATGAACTTGAAGATCTACCTTCACCACCACCACCTCTTTCTCCTCCTCCAACCATCAGCCCACACAAGCAAACAGAAGACAAAGGTGTACAGTGTGAGGAAGAGGAGGAAGAGAAAAAAGATAGTGGAGTTGCTTCAACAGAGGATAGTTCCTCCTCGCATATAACTGCTGCAGCCATTGCAGCTAAGGTGAGTTGAGGTCCTATACAAGGGAGCACATCAGTTTCAATCTCAGGTACTTTCTCTGAGCAGCTGGTTACATTTCAAGAATGCACTTGCTTTTTATGAATGTTCGTTTCTAAAAATTAACAAATTGGGGTATTTAATAATAAAATTTAAAGTTTCTTTTATATAATGGGAGTTTTCTTTTATTGTTCCCCTCCCCCCTTTACATCAGGTGTAGGCTGTAATTTAACTGCTAATTTATACCTGTGTAAGTGAAATGGTGTAAGTCATGGTGGCAAATTTCTACTAATTAAGAAAGTGCTGACTGCTTTTTTGGTGCAGGCTCCATTACACTTGCATAAGCATAAATTGGCAGTTTGATTCTGGCTGTTATGATTTTATTCAGCTAGTGTCTTAGCACAAGAGGTGAGCATTTCTGCTTGAACAAAGGAAGATCCCCCTCTCCCCTATAGTAGTTATACTTGGTACTAAGTTTAGACCTAAGGTAGAGAGCTTCTAACCCTATGATGTTTTGGACTATGTCTCCCATAATCTTTTACCATTGATTATACCAGCCAGAGTTTCTGATAGTTGAAAACTATAAAACTTGGCAGGCCAAAGCTTTCTACCTCTGCTTCAGAAACACACCACTGTTTTATAATATCTGTATAATAGAAGCATTTGGAGATACACCATGCTACCCCCATTGATCATTTATTAATTAGAGGGACTGAATTGAGTAAGGTGTCATGCTAAGTACAACTAGAAAAGTAAAGATCATTATAAATCAATGATTTGCGATGAGCCTTTAGCATGCAATCCAAGCTTCTGGACGTCAGTCTGCACTTTGAAAACTAGTGGAATGTAAATCAGCTTTATTGTTTTATCTGTCTTTACCTCTTGCAAGAAATTCGCTTAACATTCTTTTGTCCTAGCAATGCGTAGTTTGAGCTTGGCTTGGAGATCTGAGCACAACAAATTGGAGTCAAACTCTGAACAATGTATAAAGGAGAGATCTAGTACTACAGTTCCATGCATGTCTGCTGAGAAGTAGATTGCGCTGAATTCCATGGCACTTCCAGGTATATAGGATTCCAACCTAGGTATCCAGATTATAACTTGTAGATAGACTGAAACATTTCATTTTGAGCATCAACAGTCTTTTAACTCAAATTGCTCTGATCAGTTGTTTAAATGATCATGACTGCAATAGTTACAGTTATCTGTACAACTTTCGCCCATGTGCCTGTTGCATGTCTTGGGTACTTCACAGTAGGTGGTTCCTTGCGATACTTCCATGACAGAAGAGAGTGGGAGGCAAGCAATAGAGGCATGTGCAGAAAAAGGAGCAGTTAAGTGCCCTTTAACTTCCATGTTTCCATATATCAGACTAAGTTGGAGAACCTAGGCATGGGACTTTGAGTAAGACCCCATTTCCAACTTCCAGTGCACTCTACTCCAAGGTGCTATAGTCATGTTAGTGATTTGTTGTCCTGAACATTTCAAATGCAAGCAAAAGGGAAAGCAGCAGCAGCAGAAAATACCTGAGATTTAAACTGCTTTGCTCATTTATACACCTGACATTTAGGTATTCCACGTGTTTCATCCTTTTTTCCTCTATCGCATTTTGCTTGTTTAGTTTCATGTTGTCCTATCATTGTATTCATAGTTGTTATGTGTTGTACATTAGAAGCATCCATCCTACACCAGTTCCGCTGCTATCATGGCAAAAGGTGAACATCCCATTCCCGGTCTCATCTGTTATTCCCATCACACAGCAGGCAGTACAAGAGAACCGGTAAGCCACACCTATGAAAGGATTTATTATTAATATCAGCAGCCATACTGCCTGCCTTCTCTCTGTCTGTAAGGAAGAGATAACAGCTGTTTGTTTTATTCCACTGACATATTTTGTTGCTTTCTGAGCTAACAATTTCTTAACTGATTTCATACAATCTCAAATATACATTGTTTTAGGATTACTGTATTTATTTTAATGGTGTAGAGTCTTAATTCTAAGTTTAAAGTTTTTGTTTAGGTTTAGAGCAGTGTGAGGTAATTTATTCAGCACTGAAAGCTGTCATAGATATTTTTAAATTCAGATATTGAATTTAAAATGAAGCTGGAAGGTGACTTATAATTCAGAAGAGTCTGAGTGGCTGCATATGTGTTCAAATGGCTTACATATGGTTTACGGACAGATATTTCTGATAGATACTGTTATTGATTATCTATCAGTCATATTTGTCTAGCACTTATATATATATATTTTTGCCATTTCCTTGGAAAAGGAAAACTACACAGATTGCATATAAATTCTCTTAGTGTATATGTTAATATCCCCCTAAACAAGCAGTGACATTGATTTTTAAAAACTATGAATACTTCATTTAGTCAGTCCTCAAATCCCATTGCCACTTATCAAATATTACAATTAGAGTCTGAACAGTGTCATCTTTTTTCTTTGAAAATTAATATGATATCTGACTGTGTTAGTAAGCTGAAGCTACAAGCTTCAGTGAAAGCACTGTAATTGAATTTAATGGTTGTAGTGAGCCTGACTCTTGTCAGCAGACCTGAATATTTGTATCTCTGCTCTCCATTCACAGTACAGTATACCTGTGGACTCAGCCAGCAAATTGTAGGAGAAACATTGGGAGGGATCCCTTCTTTGATTTTCCCCTTACCACTTAAAGCTTGCAAGATCTGAGGCAGAAAGGAGACTGCAGAATCTCTTTGTCTCTTTGATCCTGGGGAAATATACATGGAAGGACAGAAAAATTGGGAGAAAAGGAGACTCTGCATCTTCCGGTACTGGCCATGAAAGTGTTGGAAGCCAGCAGGGAGTTGAAGGAACAAGATACAGTGAACCCTCTACGTACGGAATTAATCCGTATTGGAACAGTGGCTGCAAGTCGAAAAGTCTGTAGGTCGAGTCTCCATTGACCTGCAATGCATTGAAAACCGATTCATCCCATAACCAGCGGTTTTTATTCTATTTTTGTTCCATTTTGGGTTTTTTTCTGGTCTGTAAGTCGATTCTCCAGGTGCAAGTTGAATCTAAATTTTGTGGCCAGAGAAGTCTGTAACTCGAAAAGTCTGTAAGTCGAGCCGTCTGTAAGTTGAGGGTCCACTGTATAATGGAAGGTTTTCCATCTTTCCCTTTTTCCCAAAGAAGTGATTCCTTATGGTGGCAACACAGCTGTCATTTTGCTTCACTTTTCATAAGAATAAAGTTAGTTAGAACAATTCCCATGGTAACAGCAGGTGTGATTTTCCTCTTTGTTTTCTTTACCTGCATGTTCATTCAGCCAACAAACTAAATGAAATTTAGGTGAAGGCTAAGGTAAATTAATTCCCTTTCAATTTCCTATAGACTGCTGCTGTAATCCTAATATTTCATTAATATTTCTAAAACTATGATGGAAGTAGCCATTTGTAACAACAGAATTAATTTTTATGTGTCCATAAGCAAGTTGTAGAATACTATAAGGAACAACAGGAATATATCATGAATTCAATTATTTGTAGCTTCATTTTACCTCTCAAATCTGCTCTTCCTTCTGGACTTTGTCTGCCTCTCCTCTTCCTTTTGTTATTAATCCTTGGCTTTTTCTCCTTCCTTTTGCTCCCTCCTTTATTTCTCCTAATCTCCCTCTAGTCACCCTGCTGTTCCCTGCTTACTGTCCCATCTCTTTGTTTACAGCTTGCTCCTTCCTCTTTGCCCATGGATGCTTGTCTCCATTGTGTTTCATTATATGAAAATAAAACAATTTGATAATTGAAGTGTACAATGCTGGGTTTCTTGAAGATACAGATACAGCAATCCTGCTTGTTTTCTCTTCCATGTGGTTGTTTTTTCTTCTTCAGACTCATGAAATGAACAAAGTAAAAGCAAATGTCTTAGGCTCTCTGGGAAGAAATTGAATCTCCAGTAACTCCTTCAATTATTGATATTTTAATGTGCTCAGCCATTCTCACCACTGAAATTAGGACCTAGAGGGGAAGCAAGATGTTTTTCATTTGATTGATAACAGTTTATAATGGAAAAAAATCCTAATTACTTACACATGCAAGAGAATTCGGAGATCTTCAGGTCTCTTGGGAGAAAAAACGTAGATTGAATTGATGTAACAGTTGATTTAAGGAACAGATTTGGTTGATTTAAAGAACAGTTGATTTAAAGAACAGATTTAAGGAACTAGATTTGTATGACATCAGAAGACTAGCTGTTTTTGTTAGAGCAGGAAAGCCAGTATGAAGTACATAACTAGATCTTTGGAAAAGCTTTTGAATATAGTTAAATAATTTGGCAGTACAGTAGTTGTTTTATATGCACAAGTAGAGACAAATCCCATTCTCTTAAGAGGCCAACTAGACATGCCTGGGTCTGATGCATGAATGCAGTCGTTACATTCTTACACATTTCTGTAGTGAGGCAAAAGCAAAGCAAAATCTTCTGCTTATATACCCCACTACATAGCTCTTAAAGCACTTTCTGGGCACTTTACATTTTTTTGAATTATGCAGATTTCACACACACAAACACACACCTCCCAGCTTTTCAGAAAGTATGTATCTTCTTATGTTCTGTTATTTGCCACCATATCCTTTCTAACTATATACAGTGGTGCCTCGCTTAACGAGTGCCTCGCTGAGCGATGAAATCGCTTAACGAGGCACTCTGGGCCATCGCTGGAGCATTCGCTCAGCGATGGCCCCTATGGGGTTTTTTCGCTTTGCGAAGATCGCTAAGCGATTCGCTTAGCGATCTTCGCATAACGAAGCCGGGGAGAACAGCTGATCGGCGGTTCCAAAATGGCCGCCGGAAGGTCCGCGCCGCATTTTCGCGCCCTGCCCTCGCTTAACGAGGGCGCGAAAATGCTTGCTTGCTTGCTTGCTTGTTCTGCAGTGTTTGCTCCGGTTGTCTCTTTTGTATCTGCTGGCAAGAACCTTGTGATCTGAAACTCAGTGGTTCACTATCCTGGAAAGTACAATTAGTGAAAATGAGTGAAAGGGATAGTGAAGCCAAGGAGGAGGAAAGGAGAATAAAAAGTTTCCTTGTTATCTTGTGCACTCAAATAAGCACATAGAATAGAACTGGGGCAGAAGTGTGGGGAGGGTCCTCTTTTAAGATAAATAGGGGAAATACCAATTCTTTTCATGACAATAGGTCATTTTGAGGGCTTTTATAGTGGGTGTAATTTGTGTCCATTTAGCTAGTATCTTAGTGTGTCTTCATCTCCATTCATTTGTATTAATCTAGTGCTCTATTTATTTTCAAGCCCCCAAGCTTTAAGGATGTTTTCCTTTTAGTCTGTTTCTCTTATCAGCATATCCAACTGAGGTAAATTGTCTACTGTGTAAGTTTTAATCCTGGAATGTAATTTTTAGCCTCACTTTTAGACTGATGGTGAAACTGAAGCTTGCTGTATAAAATAATAATAGGTAGCAGGTGTAAATAGAAAACATAGTTGTAGATACATATCAGTTTTAGTAGAGTAAATAGAAAACATTATAGTTGTAGATACATATCAGTTTTAGTAGAAAATACAAACAATTCAGCAAATACTAGTACTGTATCACCTAAAACTGGAGTGGAAGGGCAGTCCTACTTCAGTAGCTTCCCTCATGAATGTCCATTCTCACAGTAGTTGGGAGACTGGTTATATGATGAGAATCCTGCTGAGTGTAGCACTAATGCAATTTCCCTTCTGTTCCATGTTTAAGCAATAGAACGCTAGTGAAAGTATCCATGCAAAATGGAACAAACTCAGTATGGAAGAAAGTGTTCAAAAAGATTTCAGATGTTCTTGAGGAATTTTTCCAAAACTAACACATCAGAGACTTACTTTCTAGAGCAAAATCTTAAGTTAAGTTAACCCTTGTTTCCTTTCTTCTATGGGCCCTTATAAATAGTCTGAAGAGGATTCAGTAATCTTATTCATTGAACACTTCTCCCCAGCAGAATAGTGATAGTGAAGACAAAAATATCCAGAAGAGTAGAAACAACAATGAATTTATTACACTTTAGACTGCATCCTAGTGGATGTTATTAGCATTTCTGTTTAAGAATGTCTTAAATTTACACTCACTACATTTTGACCCAACTCCGGGAGGCAGTGGAAGACAGGAGGGTCTGGTGTGCTCTGGTCCATGGGGTCACGAAGAGTCGGACACGACTTAATGACTATACAACAACACATTTTAGACTCTGAAGTTTCATAGATAGTTTTAGAATTATAAATTATGACAAAACATTTCTAATTATTACACCACTATGTATTTTACAGTAAAAGAAAGATTAGTTACCATACTTGTTGATTTAGAACTGATAGAGCCAGACATTAAGTTCATTTTGTAGCGACATATGTCAGCTCATAATCTTCTCAGACTGAACCTGTGACATTAAGATGAAATTCTCCTTATTTCATGTATAAGCCTTTATATTTTCTTAATTGGTTTATTTTAAAATATGTATAAACAACCATCTTTCTTACAATAGGCTTCTGAGTCTTCAGTAAATACACAAACCTAAATACAAATGAACCCTTCTTTAGGAAAGTGATTGTTAAATATATATGCCCTGCAAGCCCTAGATATTGGTGCTGCTTGGCTGTTCCAACTGCTGGTCTGTACGTTTTCATGGTGACAATGGGAAAGAATGCAAGATTCAAGCAACATCATAAGTATTTTTCAGGCAGGGGTCACCTCACTCATATAGCTGAACAGTCTTCAACTTTTTAGTGTTTCTAGTGGCAAGAGAAGATTGAAGATTGTGTAAAAGGGCTTTGCTCTTGTTCCTGCTTCCACTGTTTCCTGCTATACCATGCAGTTATAGTAGGCTTGTTGCCAGGGTGTCTGAAGGACTTTTTAAAAACCGGTTTCATCTCTGAGCTCACTCTTTGAGGCTCTTCCATTTGCCTACTCTGCTTGCCAGCTAGACAACTAGGATCCAGAGACCAGCACCCTTTTCTGCTGATATCTAGGGACAGATTGAAGAATAAAGGGAAAACAGTTTTAGGTTGTTTTGTTTATAAGTATTTTGATATTGAGTATGTTATAACTCAGTATGATTTTTAGACAGAGTAATACAATATGTATTCTTGATTAGATTCCAGATTCCATCATTTCTCGCGGTGTTCAGGTGCTTCCACGAGACACAGCTTCACTTAGTACTACCCCTTCAGAATCCCCTCGTGCCCAGGCCACCTCTCGCCTCTCTACTGCTTCCTGCCCAACACCAAAAGTAAGTACAATATATGGCCATTGACAGGTGGAATACCTAATTTTTCTGACTGATGCCTTCTGCATGTTGCTCACATGCAAGGTGATAATATTGAGAGTAGCAACTTTCTAATATATGTCTTGCTCTGTAAGAAATATGTGATACAAAAAAGGCAAGAAAGATAATACTGTATATGTGATTAGTGCTGTTCTGTTGAATCTAGTGTTGTTGTATTTGCCAGTCAATATACTGATGTTTCGTAATATCTGAAAATGCTTCTCTGTTCTCTGTTACAATACCAGCCGTGAGTATTTAAATCCTTTGCAGTGCATTAGTTATACAGGAAAGTAGATATGACTCTGCCCTCAAATAACAGAACAAGAATAATAAATAGTCTGTAGAAACATCTGGGGCTTTTCTAAGCCATGGCACTTCTCTGCCTCAGTCCTATATTAAGATGTTTAAAATACTTCCAAGCCAAACAGTTTTGCCTTAAGTTGGATACTTGCTGCCTCCTCTTTGGAAACTCTAAATTATATAGAAAGAAAGTTTTAATGCCAACCTTTAAGACTATTAGTCAATAGTGTAGAAATAATTTTATATTGCTTGTACTTATGGAGGTGATCCAATATGTTTGGTATAATACCCAGTGTACTAATATATTTGTGACAAAGCTGAGCAGGTAGAAAGACCAGTAGAATACCATGATTTATTTTAGAACTTGAGTTTTTCATCTGTATTCAGCTGGTTCTTTTCATATCACAAACCTTTCTTTCCAGCATAATGAGTGTTGCTGTGTTTTAATAGAGAAAACTGTAAACAAAAGTGTTCTCTGTTATCTATTTGGTCATGTTTCTCTGAGAGTGTTCTGCTTTATAACATAATTACAAGTGTCTGGTGTTCATTTTTTTTTTGCTCTGTTTCACTCATTTTCTCTCACCAAGTCATATTAACTTATACCCTGCCTTCGACAAATCTTTATCTAAATGTTTGGCATTTGTCATGAGTTATATGCCTTGACAGAGCAGAGGTATTGCTGGTTGGCATAAATTAATTTACATACAGAAGGTTGACAAAACCTTTAATTATATTTTTTGGCCAGAATCGTGTTGAATCCATGAATCCAGAAATTATGTGAGGAAGGGTGATAGCACAAACAATCCACCATCTTTTGGCAGCCACTTAGTCCATCCCACAACGCCTGATAGGACCAGTTTTGCTATAACGCATGGCCGGTTGTGCCATGGACAGTGACAACCACTTATGTAATTACACTTATATGATTAGTTTTTGCCAAAGTATTTTGGTCTTAAAAGTTAAATTATATTATAACTTCCTTCTGTCTTTGGGATTGTCGTTAATGAATCAACATACTTCAAGATACTATTATTGAAAGAAAGCCTGGAAGTTTTTCAAATCTGAGTGGAAAATATCAGTAAAAACTATAGGCTCAGTTCTGGAAGTCTGTGCCTTAATTTCTCTGTGTAGAAAAAAGGATCATGGTAATAAAAGGTGCACTTTATAGAAAACCAAAGAAATGCATTGAAATTTTATATTGATATATGCTTTACCTTTACCTTTTTTATATGTTACTTGCAAAAACAAGTATGCCATAAGTGTGTACAACTAAACAAAAAGAACATTTTGATGTTTTACAAGCTAGTCTATGTGATTTGAAATGTATGTTTTACTAAGGTATCTTCATGGAATTATGCAAAGAAGGTAAAAGAGAAGATGGGATCATGGAAGCCCATAGTTGCCTTGTATGAGTATTATTTCTTATTATATGAGAAAGAGTATTTCAGAATTGATCAACATAATTGGTTTCACACATTTTATACCTTGTAAATGATTTAAATGATTTACAATTACTTGATGAAACAGAGACGCCCAGTGTCTTTTCCCCAATCCTGTATTATACTAAATCAGATCTATCTAGCTAAGTACTGTGTATTACAGCCTAGGGCAGCCCTCTATTTTTTCTGGCGAAAGTGTTTCCTACTGAAGTCTGATCAAGAACTTGGGAGAGGAGGATATAGAAAGCAGAAGGAAGTCATGCGGAGACATTGGCAGCCCTGGTAAGACAGATGAGGTCATGGTTCTTCATGAGTTTTCTTGACACAAGATCTGGAGTGTGAAATCTCATGAGACTGTTAGGTCTCACAAGATCTCCAACAGCTGTTCCTATGTAAGGGCCATTTATCACTTCCTGAATAGACAGGCTGGACTTTCTACATGCAAACCACCATTTTTGAAACTCCCTATTTCTTTATGCCCTTGAATTCTCACATATCAACTTGTTTCAAAGGTCCCTAGAACTTTATATATTTCTGGTGATCTATTCATCTACATATCGACCAAGTTCTAAAACTTTATGAGTGTTATAAGTGCAGTCTCAATAGCTTGCTAGGTTCAACAGTTGGGAAGTTAACTGAGTAGCCATCAAATGTACTGTGATGGTTTATATCGCTTTGTGGCTTGGGAATGGGAGACTGAATATGCAGGTGGAATTTAGGATTTTATGCAAGAAGAGCCATGGATCAAGATTTCAGATGGGAAAATGAAGAGAAATTCAGACTAAGGTGAATGAATCATTATTTTCCCATGTACCTTCTGGTAGTTCTCTGAATAGCCAGCCACATGTACTTGTATACTAAGTTGGCGAAGTCTATCATTTGCAATGTCTCAATTCACTACTGGCTCATAAAAGGTATTTCAGTGAGCAATTAAAAATTCACAATCACGATTATTCATAGATCTTGAAAAAATGCTTTCCAAATCTTTACTGAATAATGGATTCTTCTGACAAGGTTGGGATAAGTTTTTAATTCCTTCAAAAGTTTTAGAGGCTTATAGGTATTATTGTTAAATACATTATTTATTCTTATCTGTATTTATACCTGGACTTGGTTACTCCCTGAGAAATACAGTACTTAAATACCACCTTGTTTACCAACGATGTACCAATGTCATTCTCAAAGGTTTATATGTTATAGACTGGAATATTCTATGAAAGTAGTGCTGGAGTGCTAGAATGTATCTTCAGCTAAACTTTAAGTGAATAGTTCTGAGATTCTTTTAATTCTTGTGTTCATTTAAACAATATCATGACAGAATGTCAGAAGGAAAATTCTTACATTGCAAAGATCTGAAGCTTTTTCTTTTTGCACTGTTCAGAGAAAATGTGTTCATAAAAGGTTCTTTTATTTGGCAGGAATACTGCTGAATTAATGTAATAGCTCCTTTTCTCATAGCTGTCCTGATCTGCGATGAGTGTTCAGTTAAAATCACTACGAAGGATTTGCAAACAGGAATAAAAATTTGGAAAGCAAATATATAAATTGCTTATGGAATTAGACTGTACAGTTGTATAATTTTGTTATATTAGCCTTCCTTCAAAATCAAACATTCGAGGAACCTATTTGATATTTTGTGTCAGACTGTATTATAATAGCCACTTTTTTAGTAAAACCACTTGGTCAATAAGTTGTTATTTAGTTGTTAAGTCGTGTCCGACTCTTCGTGACCCCATGAATCAGAGCACGCCAGGCCCTCCTGTCTCCCGGAGGTTGGTCAAATTCATGTTGGTCGCTTCATTGACACTGTCCAAGCATCTCGTCCTCTATCGTCCCCTTTTCCTCTTGCCCTCACACTTTCCCAACATCAGGGTCTTTCTGCTCCAGAGAGTCTTCTTTTCTCATGAGATGGCCAAAGTATTGGAGCCTCAGCTTCAGGATCTGTCCTTCCAGTGAGCACTCAAGGTTGATTTCTTTCAGAACTGATAGGTTTGTTCTCCTTGCAGTACAAGGGGTTCTCAGGAGTCTCCTCCAGCACCACAATTCAAAGGCATCAATTCTTCGGCGGCCAGCCTTCTTTATAGTCCAGCTCTCACTTCCATACATCGCTACTGGAAAAACCATAGCTTTGACTATGTGGACCTTTGTCGGCAAGGTGATGTCTCTGCTTTTTAAGATGCTGTCTAGGTTATGAAGCCTCCTAGTCTGACCTTTTACTATGTAATCAAAATTTAGTGTTTGTAGGTATGGATCTGGCAGGTAGAATTCCCAGAACAGAAAATTAGGGAATTTGGAATCCAGAAAATAATGAATGGGCACAGGTTTGTCATCACTTTCCTCCCAAGAAGTAGGCATCTTTTAATCGTCACTGCTGTCACCATCTGCAGTGATCCTGGAGCCAAAGAAGGTAAAATCTGTCACTGCCTCCATATCCTCCCCTTCTATTTGCCATGAGGTGATGGACCAGTGGCCATGATCTTAATTTTTTTGATGTTGAGCTTCAGGTCATTTTTTGTGCTCTCCACTTTCATGCTCATTAAGACGTTCTTTGATTCCTCCTCACTTTCTGCCATCAGAGTGGTATCGTCTACATATCTGAGGTCTGTTGATATTTCTTCCGGCAATCTTAATTCAGGCTTGGGTATCTTCCAGTCGAACCTTTCGCGTGATGTATTCTGCATATAAGTTAAATAAGTGGGGAGACAATATACAGCATTGTCATCCTCCTTTCTCAATTTTGAACCAATCAGTTGTTCCATATTGTGTTCTAATTCTTGCTTCCTGTCCCACATATAGATTTCTTGGGAAACAGCCACTCGCATTTCCTTAAGAACTTTCCATAGTTTGCTGTGGTCCACACAGTCAAAGGCTTTTGCCTAGTCAATGAAGCAGAAGTGGGTGCTTTTCTGGAACTCTCTGGCTTTCTCCATAACCCAGCACATGTTAGCAATTTGGTCTCTAGTTCCTCTGCCCCTTCGAAATCCAGCTTCTGGGAGTTCTCAGTCCACATACTGCTGAAGCCTACCTTGTAGGATTTTGAGCATAACCTTGCTAGCGTGTGAAATAAGTGCAATTGTACAGTAGTTGGAGCATTCTTTGGCACTGCCCTTCTTTGGGATTGGGATGTAGACTGACCTTTTCCAATCCTCTGGCCACCGCTGAGTTTTCCAAACTTGCTGGGACATTGAGTGTAGCACGTTAACAGCGTTGTCTTTTAAGATTTTA